GTTGAACAACGCTTGTAACTTGAAGATGATCAGCTGCGGCGAGAACTTCAAACACGTTTTCCTCGTTGACACGGAGATCTCCAGTGTAGATGGAGTCCATCACAATCTTTAAAGCATCAGGTGAAATGCTTTCATCTTTGAGTTCGATCAGGTCCTGGTTGGACTCCTTCATTCCATCAGTAAACATGGCGTGGAAATAATCGCTATTCGCAGCGAGTACAATGCGATGAGCTGGAAAGATGTCTTCACGCACTTTTAAGCGAACGTCGATGAATTGACCTTCGTCTCGAAACTGTGCACATTTAGACAAGAGATCCACGGCACGGGAAACCATTTTATGGTGTTTCACTTCACGTTTATGATTCTCGTCGACATAGTCGCGTGACCGTGGTATCTGCCTGAAAATGTCACGTGATCATGGTCACGAAGCTTAGGACTCTTGATCAACATTCACTTCCGGAAACTTGCCAAAATCTCTTGGCCTGGGAAAACATCAGACACCCTGGTGTATAATACTCCTCTTAATTAGATTGTTCTTAGGCTAAACAAGCTTTTGTATAGGATGACAGGAGCAGTAAAAAACGTCATAAAAATTTGTACTAAAATTCTGGCTCGTTTAGCTTTTAGTTCAAAGGTGGCACTCATTTATCTTGATGAAAATAAATAAGAGAACGTTAATTTATTTACATTTTACTTCTCCTGAAAGTAACTCTTCTTGCATCTGGCCAAACGGTGAAGGGAGAGGCATGGGTTGGGGGNAGCTCTGAGCACCGCATCACTGCAATATGTAACTCATGGCCAGCTCGTGGCCAACCTGACGGTGATGTTCCAACCTCACGCGGTAACCTCTGACTTCCTGGCACTTCCTCTTGCAGAAAACGCGTTTGATCCTTTACACATAGACACTTAAATGAATATATATTTTTTTAGCCCCATGATACGAACGTCTACAATTGACATGATACTTTTATACCTCAAGCATTTTCGACAAAATAAACACAAAACGTTTGTCATTGTCTGTGACGCTGTGTCGATACTGCTGATGCCTGTGAAGGTCGAAAACAGCTTCGGATTGCACGATGGTACCTGCTTGGTGATGATGGTACACCGCAAGGGGGAAGTCTCTATTCACCGCATCACCGCAGCAGAAAAACAATATCAACACCGTAACACCGCAAAGCCCCATGTCCCCCTCGGTGAACATGTTGCTAGTGTTTATCTCGTTTTCTCTGCATGAATTATTGCTAAACCATCAAGATTTCACTTCATGGTTTCCAAGAGAGTCCCCTATCACCCTGCAATTTAGAGTTCCCTTAGCTCGTCCAGTACGGGGGTTGAGGGGTAGAACAGAGAAAAGCGAAATCTCCGTCTGTTATGGAAAACTAGGGGTGATCATACAGGAATTGAACTTTCTTGCATTATATTGAACTTGAATAAGCGAACCTGGTTCGAAACGAATAAAAGAATATCTGCAATCCCACACGCAATTTTTTGCGCGCCACCCGCCGAAAACCCGCAGGGGTCCGCAAGCCGGCGCGGTAGATCGTTTCTCGACCCGCTGATGCTGGGACGCTTGGTTACACGTGGCCTCCTCAGCGATCAGGGAACTTGTTGATCTTTTCATGCATGCAAAATGGCCTCCGGCCCGAAAGATGCGGATAATGGTATGCTCATGGAAGAAGTTGACTTAAAAATAAGGCACAAGTATGAGAGATCGTGGATCACAGGAGAGAGGATTGCTCTTCTTGGGCTTATTGCAGTTGGAGTCGTGCTCGTTATAGTGGGAATTGTTTTGCTGGCAATGGCGAGCTCGGCGGCCAAGAAATGCTCAAATGGGGAATTAAACAATGGTGAGGGAAGTGGTCCTACCAGCTCACCATCCTACAAAACATTCAAACGGTGCGAATTTTCAGCCGAAGCGAAACGAATTGGCCTGGACGAATTTATCAACAGAGTGAAAGAAACTTACTACACGCTGCATCCCTTCAGCGTTCCATTTCATCCCGACATTCATGACTCACTGGAAAGCTTCGAACGAGTTAAAAGGGAATATGTCGCTTATGATCCGACTCCCTCCGTGATCAAGAACCGTACGGACATTTCGTGGGCTCTACTCAAAGAAATCAAGTCGAAAGAGGTAAACATGAATGCCTTGAAGCCGCGGGAAAGGAAATCTTTAGCTCAGGTGAAGCACTATCTTCAACACATGTTTGGTCAGCCCTACGATGTCAACTATTACGCTGGAGATTGGATGATGGGGCCAAACCTATTTTGCTGGCAGCCAATTTGCTATCACGGTTACGATTTCTATAACGGCATGATTTATCATAAGCCCTTCAACGCTAACGACGTGGAACATATCAGAAAGAAACTTGAGACGCATAAGGTCGGAATCTTACAGTACATCGAAAATATGAAGATGGGAATTCGTAAAGGGATGGTTCGCAGTGTTGAGGAATGTATTGCTGGTGTGGATTCGGTGAAAAGAAGATACTTGAATGTGTCACTCTACAATGAAACAGGTAAGGGTTTTTATTTAGAGGAATTCGCATGTTAGTATTATGTTTCGCGTCATCGAGCAAATCTACTTGATATCTTGTTTCTGACGGAGTTTACAGAATAAAATTCGCTAGTCACCTTTCTTAACCTGTAAGCTTAAACATCTGTTATTGTTTTATCTTGACAAAATAGCTTTTATTTTGTCAAGGTCGATCGAGGAACTTTGCTGTTATGAGTATTCGATTAGATCGTCAATTTAAATGCATTCCTTGCAATCGCCGTGTTGTAATGTAAAAACTCAGACCTTTGTGTTTGTATTCACGCTATATTGTTGCTCATGAATAGA